AATGTATTAAATAATAATATGCCACATTACAAATGCATACATAATTTAAACAGGGATTTAGGACATGTGAGTTTGGAAGTATTAAGGAAAACTCAGCAATGTGTGAGCAATCTAAATTTAAAGAACTGTGATAAATTTCTAGATTGCAATGTCTGTAAAGCTTCTAAATCAAAGAGACACCCTGTAAGAAAAGCAGAAGAGTAAGTAAAAAGTGCTTTGAGCTTGTGCACATGGATATAATGGGTCCATTCCAAGAGTCACTGGGGGAAAATACGTTCTGTCTTACCATAACAGACAATTTATCCAGGTACTCTTATGTCTTCACTTTGAAACATAAAAGTGAAGCATTCCAAACGTTCAGGGAATGGGTGGCTATGACTGAGAGAAGATTTGAAAGACATGTAACCAGTATTCAGACTGTCACAGTCCCAGGGGTTTTAACAGGCAGGAGTCCAATAAACCAGTCCAATGTCAGAAGTCCACTAGATGCAAAACAGATACCAAAATGTCAGAGCCAAAACACAAACCATAGTCAGAAGTCAGAGTCCAAAGCCGAGGGTCCAGAAGACAAGATCCAAGATGAGCAGGAGCGTGGATGCGAGCCAGAGAAATTGTCTTGTTGCTTCCATGAGCTTACCAGCCGTCTGGGAGCTGCTTATATATTAAAACAGTCATTGAACTGCTGAAAGCCTTTCATTCTGTCAATAATCAGGGCTAGCTGATCTGATGTTTCTGAGGGCAGCATTCAGGTGATCCTCTGACCTTTGAGTCATAATTCCTTGCTGAAGTCTGGCCCTTACCCTGACTACTGGGGGGAGGAGAATCTGGGGACAATTCAGCTGTCTGTGCTTCTAAGGAAAAAAGGCTGATTTTTATAGGGTATCAAATGGTGTAAAAGCTACAGGCTTAGTGACCAGTGTGGGAATGTAACCATCAGTAGATCAGCAAATTTTTGTGAGAACAAGAATTGGTCTTGTATACATGCTAATGATGAAGTATTTTTGCCACCATTTAATGATCAAAATAGTAAGAAACAAGTTAAAAAGGAGAACCTAAGTAAAATGGAAGCTGAGAAGAAGAATGGAACAAATAGTGAAGCTGAGGAGGAGAATGGAACATATGGTGAGTCATGAGAACAAAGTGAAGAAGTAGTAATTCCTAGGCGTTCTCAGAGATCAAATAAAGGTGTCCCACCTCAAAGGTTCAAAGTAACTAATGTAAACCTAATTATCAGTAAATCTGAAAGTTATGGTATGTTGGAAATCAAAAAAGCAGACCATAGTACTGAAGAGGCTGAGTACGCTGCTTTAAGTGAGCTGTGTAATGAAATCACTTGGTTTAAGCAATTGTTAAAAGATGTAAACATAATAATTGACTTACCTGTATATGTTTTCTGTGATAACACAGCGTGCATTCAATTAGCTGGTGAATGTAGGATTAAAGGAAGAAGTAAGCACATTGGAATAAGATTCTTTAATGTGAAAGATGCTGTTGAAAGTCAGTTGGTGGAATCACAATATTGTCCCAGTGAAAATAATGTATCTCCGTCTACATTGGCTCGGGCATATCATGAGAATGGCTGACGGTCGGATTACAAGAGATCTCCTGTATGAAGAATTGGTGCAGGGAAAGCGCCCCAGAGGGAGACCACAGCTGCAATACAAGGAGATCTGCAAGCGGGATCTGAAGGTCTTAGGAATTGACCTTAACAGATGGGAAATCCTGACATCTGGGTGTTCAGCCTGGAGGCAGGCGGTGCATCATGGCCTCTCCCAATTTGAAGAGACCCTTGTCCAGCAGGCTGAGGCAAAGAGGCAGTCACAGAAGCAGCAAAACCAGGGAGCTGGACAGGGGACAGATTGTATTTCTCTTCAGTGTGGAAGGGATTTATTTATTTATTTATTTATTTATTTATTGGACTTATATACCGCCCCATAGCGCTACAAGCACTCTCCGGGCGGTTTACAATTTTAATTATACAGGCTACACATTGCCCCCCCAGCAAGCTGGGTACTCATTTTAAGTACATTCAAGGCTTGTCTTTTAAACAGAGTGCCCTTGCCAAGCTTCATATTCAACCATACTCTAAGAAGTTTTCTTGAGGCCAGATCCTCATTAAGCCTCTGGAGTTTTGGTCCCACGCCAACAGCTTGTTCCAATACAAACCATGACTGTATGTAAAATATTCAGTTACCAAATTCTTTGGTAATCATCAGATTTCATGATCCCGTCCACACACTCAAGGCATCCAGTGCCAGAAGCAGCAAAGCAACTCCAAAACATCTTTGAACCTCCACCATGTTTGACTATAGGCACTGTGTTGTTGTTTTTTTGAATGCCCCATTTCTTTTTCTGTATACAGTGCCATGATGTCCTTGACCAAAAAGCTCTACTTTTTTCTCATCTGTCCACAGTATGTTCTCCCAGAACGATTGTGGTTTTGTCACATAAGTTTTGGCAGACTCCAGTCTTGCTTTCTTATGCCTTTGTGTCAGCAGTGGTGTCCTCCTGGGTCCCTTTTCATTCAGATGGCGATGGATAGTGAGAGCTGGCACTGTTGTGACTGTGTCTACAGATCAGCTTGAATTTGTTGAAAAGTGGACTCAACACAAAGGTTGAGTCCACTTTTCTCCATCTTAACTGGTTGCAAGTGTGATTACTATATTGCCCACACCTCTTACTTGTGACAGGTGTGTCTAAATACAAATTAAAGGAGCATCACATGCTTGAAAAGCAATTATTTCTTCCACTTTAGACAACGTGCCAATAATTTTGGCCAGTGTATTTTTGGGTTTCTGTGTGTGATTGTATCAGATTTGACTTTTCTTCTCTGTGTTTTTGTGTTGTTCCAACGCAAACCAAAGAAATGGACATGTGAGTACCAAAACACTTGCAACTGCAAGAATTTTCTGAGAGAAGGGTTGCATTTTCTGACGGAATTGCAAGGGTGCCAATATCTTTGGCCATGACTGTATGTAAAAGATTCAAAGAAGCCATTTTATTACCAGGTCCTATTACCTTCCTTTTATTCAATGACTGTTTTTTTTTTAATGTAAACTTTCAAATTAAAAAAGTTTGGTAGGGGCTTAGTCTGATAAAATAAAACTCCTATTATTACTTTTCAGCTCCTCCTCCTTTTGGTTAGTTACACTTAAAACAGACACAGCATTTTGCAGGGTGGGTGGGTAGGTTAGAAAACACATAATCAGATAAGAACTCAGTTTAAGCTAATCACTTGAACACTCTGTTCTTCAAGGTGCCCATCTTAGTGGCACACAGGAAAATTAATCCAGCAGATAAAAACTGCAATCAGCCATATGTCTGAGCAAAGATAACATCACAGGGCAATGGAACTATTTTTAAAAAGGATGTGTATTTTCTTTTGATGCAGAGAAGGACAATTAATTTGGACAAGAGACGTAGGACTGAAAAGACTGAGGTGGAATTCAATTCTCTTACAATTCCCAAACTTTTTTGTGTTAAGAAGCTTTGCCCAATACAATTCTTCCTCTACATGCAACTTGACTGTTCAGCCTTCAGCCTACCTTGTTCCTGGATTGAAGGTAGCTGGTCATGTTGGTAGAGTATGAGGGTGGTCTACCTACGCGATGATCATATTGGCTTATATTGACCTCCAACATAAATAGCCAATTATTCAGCTGGCCAACAAGCTAGGGACAAGATGGCAATGCACACAATAACTCTAAAGTACTGACAGATGTGTATGTCTCTTGCAAACCAGGGCATCCAATGGCCACACTTCCTTCACCTTTAGCACTCTGGGCCTACCAGCGTCATAGGGCAAAAATACCCTTTATTTGTAGCGCCAAGGTGAGTTCTTCTTCTTCTTTATTTACTATTTAAAATATTTTCACCCTCAACTACATTTTGAGCTCCACACATTGAGCGCCAGTGGACTTTTGCCTCTGGCCAGTGCAACCATGATTCCCCGTCAGGCGTGGACTTTAGTATCATTTATCAAAAGTCACAACTAAGAGCGACTGTAAATTTTCATAGCAGAGGTAGGGAATGTGAAGTGTTGGTGGACTACAGCTCCCTCCCCATCCTTCAGCCATGCAAGGTGGAGCTGGTGTGAGCTGCCATCAAGCACCCCATGATGGAACGTTCCTTACAGATTTTGCACCGTATGCAGTTTTGCATGAGTTCATTTCCTTCCACTCAACTTCTGTAAATGACAGGCATATCATAATGAATTAAATATACTACAGAAGCTGAGATTTACCTAATGGGCAACATGCATTTGCCCAATGTCTAACCTTCAGTTGCATTTTGAGCTGAGTTTCTTCTCTGGGTCATAATGTATACTGCACATGCTTTGGGGGCTGACTACGACGTTTTCCAGGCGCATTGCCAAAATATATACCATGTGAGATAGCTCTTTGTCAAACAGCAAAGCCAATTACACAAAAATCTAAAGTTAATTCATTTGGCAATGTCATGAGATGGGAGAAAAATTTTGGGAAAAGGTTGTTTCCCCCATCCCCAGGAGTTCTCTGACAAATTCTATGAAGAATGACTAAAAGTACTAGGTCTGTTTAGCTTAACAAAGAGAAGACTGAGGGGAGACACGATAGCAGTCTTCCAATATCTGAAGGGCTGCCACAGGGAAAAGAGTACCGATTTATTCTCCATTGTGCCTGAGGGTAGGACAAGAACCAATTGGTGGAAAGTCATCAGAGGGAGATCCAACCTGGAAATAAGGAGGAATTTCCTGACAGTGAGAACCATTAAGCAGTGGAACAGCTTGCCACCTGATGTTGTGGGTGCCCCATGGCTGGAGGTTTTCAAGAAAAGATTGGACAGCCATCTATCCAGGATGGTATGAGGTCTCCTGCCTTGGGCAGGGGGTTGGACTAGAAGACCTCCAAGGTCCCTATGACAATTCTATGATTCTATGAAAAGTGCGACTGAAGCAATATCACACACAGTACTTCTTTTGCTGTTTCACCTTTGCCGTAACAAAAAAAAAATCCACCTACCCAAGTGCAAAGACATCTGAGTGCTTGGAGAAAGGCAACTTGTCTTCTTCTGTGTCAGGTGACAAATGGCGGATAATCTCTGGGGCCAAGTGACACAACCATCCATTCTGGATGCGTAGTTTGTTCTCCCTCCTGAAAGGTAAAGGAAAAATTAATCACTAAGTCTTGATCAGTTCTGGGATTTTCACATCTGAAATAATAACAAAAATCAAACTGATCTGCTCCAACTTTTTAGGCCCAGTTCTGGTCTCTCTCTCTCTCTCTCAATCTCATTCTGTCTCTTATAATAAGATTCAGAGATCGAAGATGGAGGGAGAAGACTGGGCCGTTCTTCTGCAGTCTTCTTTCTGGGACAGCTGCTTTCCATTCTTTCATTGGCCTCTCTTTTACACTAGCCTTCAGAGCAAAGAACAACACACAGTTGTAAGAGATCTTAAACCAATGATGTGTGTTGTCTTTTATATATGTATGTTGTGAATAAGAGACTCATTTTGTGAAATTGGGTTTGCAAGGTTCATTAATAGCTATATAAGTAAACAAAACAGTAGGAACTCCATATCCTCAGGTTCAGTATCCACTGTTTCACTTATCCATGGTCTGAAAATATTAAAAATAAAAATCTAGAAAAACTATTTTCACATGTATTAACAGAACTGGCCAATCGAGGCAGCCAGAGACTGTGCTATGAATACTGTGTTTCCCTGAAAATAAGGCAGGGTCTTATATTGATTATTGCTCCAAAAATGCATTAGGGCTTATTTTCAGGGGACGTTTTATTTTTTTTCCATGTACAACATTCTATATTTATTCAAATAAAGTCATGTCATCTTTTTCTGGTTGCTGCACAATGGTGGAGGGCAGGATTTCACTTGACGGGGGCTTATTTTTGGGATAGGGTTTATATTATGAGTGTATTGAAAAATCTTACTAGGCCTTATTTTCAGATTAGGTCTTATTTTCGGGGAAACAGAGTACACTGTACAGTACAGTACTTGTTAGTGAAGAATACATGGCATGGTCACTTGTGCCCTCTAATGGCCAGTTCTTGTAATGCATGTGAAAATTCTTTTTCTTGGTTTTCCCCCCTTTTTCCATGATATACTGTATTTTTCTATATATAAAACAATACTTTTGTCTAAAATCTTTAGGTTAAAAATTGAGGGTCATCTTACACATGGAAATAAGCCCAACTAGTGTGGTCACAGTGGGTGCTGTAATCTATAGAAGCACTGCTTCGAAATTCTTTCTCAAATAATTCATTTCAAAGGGTTATTATGAACATGGGGGTGGGGAGGAAGTTTATGTTTCTCTGAACTTCTAGGAAGAAGAAAAGGAGAGTCACAAAATGAAAAGATGAGTATCGAGAGAGGCCTCCTCTGGTCCGGCATTCTGTTTACCCCAGGATGCCTTTGAGAGGGGCCACCATCAGAACACAAGTGCAACTGTATTTTCATCTCATATTTCCCACCAGCCAACACAGAAAGACATAATTATTAATTTCAGATAGATGGAGCCAGTTAGGTAGAAAGTCAAGGTGAAGTTCCAGATCTTGGGGGGGGGGGAACGGGGGAGAGAGGTTTGGAAAAAATGGCAGTTGCTAGTGCTCTTCCTTGGTTGGTGAGCCTTGGCAAGGCTTATCTGCCAGTGGTGGAAACAGAGATCAGAAACAGTGGGGTTTTTTGGGGGGAGGGGGCACAACTTCCACAATCTCCCAGGCAGGAAGATCTGGGGAATTCTCAGAGTTGTAGTCCCAAAATATAACTGTGCTCTGAGCACCTGTCTTTATGTGACTCCAGGGCAAACATCAAGGGAGGACCCTAAAAGGGTGCTGGGGTCCCTAGCAGCAGTACAGGGGTGCCAAGTAACTGGCACCAGTGCTGAAAACCAGCTCCCTATCTTAAGCAGTGACAAAGCTCCCTTTTCTGTCACTTAGAAGAAAGATCCCATGCAGTACAACTAATTAAGGCTTCTTGCTCTCCTTCAGAGAGGAGCCCTATAATTTTCTCCAGAAAGTAACAACAAACAAAATTGAAATATGGGGGTTTGATTAGAGCACTTGTGGGACTCCAGCGAATGCCAAGCAGAATTAGTGCAGCCCACCAGCAAGGCGGGGGGGCTGGCTTGTCGTAGCCTCTGCTGAGCCTGAGTCATCCTTGGAGAAGGCGGGCTGCTTGCTCCGGGGCAGATGTTGGCAGGTGCAAATTTGGGAACCTCCCCTGCTAAGTTACAGAACGCACACTGAGAGAAGCCGAGTGACCAAAAGCAGAGCAGAGCTTGGAAAAGCTACTTTTGGAGGACTGCAACGTAAATAATCCGCAGGCAAGCATAGCCAGGGACCATTGGTTTTTGGGATTTTTGAGGCTGTAGTTCAAAGAGAGAACCTCCACACTCTGTACCTGGGCGTAAGGATATTATTATTCCTCCTCAAACAGACAAGACAAAAGAAAACCACATTCAACACGCAAAATGAATTACAGCCAGCTGTGAGTCTTACACCAAGGCTCCAATGGAGGAAAAATAATTACATTTGTTTATGCCTAGAACTGAGTTCACTTTAAAATTATATTTTACTAGAATTTGTAAACTTAAAAGTTCAAAGAACATGAAATTACAAAAAAAAAAGCATGTGGGGAAAACTGACACATTCGTCTATTCTGGAGAAGGAATGTGAGTGCTTGGATCTTCAAAGTCTTGCTACAAATCTAGGTGCCTTTAATAATGTTGCTGAATCAGGGTGCCAATTTTCTGACAATGTCACTTCCTTGACAGATATATGCTAAGCAAAGAGTAACAAATGCAACCATTTTAATAACTTTTGAGAAAGGGGGAAAGAAAATGTTTTTTTTTCCCTAATCGACTATCATGACAACTAGTTTATGGGCTTACTTTTCTTACAGAATGGAACTTTCCAAGCTTTCTGTTCCATGGAAATGGGTCTCAAAATAATAGAATAAGGTCAAGAAATAGAAAATTGCTACATGAAAAACTGGGAAGTATATAGACACCTATGCACTCCCTGTGCGTGTATATATGTATGTGTGCACACACATGTATGTGGGGTGTGAATAAAGAAACACTGAACTCACTCACAATCTACTTAACCAGTTCTGCCTCACAACTGATACACAGATGAAGGAGGAGGAAGGAGGAAAATAGGCAGGCCATTATATCTTTCTTTAATCCGGTGCCTTTTACACATCATAATTACAGAAAGATTAAAATAACGTGCTCTATCTCACTGGCAGCTTTGCAGTAAAACAATAACTGACTGTGAGGAAATCTTCACAATACCTGGAGTTTTATTTTTATTTATTTAATGAATTATTATTATTTTTAAATGTGGAGAATCTGAAAGTAGAGTAAGTTACATCTCAGTTAGGGACCACTGGCAGTGAACCGTCTCAGAACAAATTAATAGAGTTTCAGATGAAGGGATACATAGTGGAAAGCTGATTAGAAAAACGTCTCCATGGTCACAGTATAGTTCTTTTTCACTCCATCCAGGCTGACAACATTTAGACAGAGACAGCCTTTGGATCAGGAAGGCAACAATGGTTTAACATTGTATAACAGAGAATGTGGGAATCTGCTTTACCCTTTTATTCCCCATGATTTACCCAGCCAAAAGCACCCTCTCCCATAGCTGTTTTTCTTCCTACAGGAAAACAATCATATGGGGATGCTGTCTTTTTTTTTTCTCCAGATGAGAAAGCATCAACTTGGGGAAGCAGCCAAAGGGGAAAGTATTAAGAAGTAATTCCCTTCATTTTTTCATCAGTGTTGAACCTCATTCTATTCTCAGTTAAATTAAAACTAACGCTTCATTTTCAAGGAACTATTGTTATGTTTCCTGTATATTGGCCAGACTCAGTCTCAATTTTATTATTATTATTATTTTGTGGGGTGGCACAAAAATATCTGGGGGAGGGAAATCTCTAAAGTGCTTTGGTCTTTCTCCCTTTCTGTAATTGCACCAGAATGTTGCACAATTTAAAATCATGAACATATATGCAATATAGGTAAACTCAAAAACAAATTCAATCTTGGCCATTTGCTAGATGTTCTTTTGTACATGTGGTATGGCATAAATTGCATGTGCTGTTTTTAAATTGAATTTCTCCACAGTCACAGAAAATTGTCCTGTGTCCAAGTAACCACATTTTAGTTGATTATTCTTTGATATTCCTACTTTGCTTCAATGTCTATTAAGCGATTTCCAGAGAGTAGAGCTAGACTTGTCCTGGTGGGAGATATTCTTCAGCATCCATAAATTCAGCAATGTGTATTGTTTTTGCTCTCCCTAGATTCAGTCTAGCCTCTTCTGGTTTAATATTTAGAGCTTAAAATCTATGCAGAAGACTTTATGTTGATTTTAGCCATCATCTAGGGGGCTAAAAGGCATGAAGCAGTCAATTGCCACCAGAAATAACATGCTTTGGAAACTGGCTGGGTCAGATTGGGGTGTACACTTACAAACAATACACAATACGCTGTACTTTTCTACAGCAGAATATGGTATTGCTGTATGGTATAAATCAACACATGCTGAACAAGTGGAGGTAGCTCTCGTGAAGGATTATTATTGGCTCCCAGAAAACTACCCCCATTGAAAAAGTCTATTATTTGTTTGGCATTGCCCTTTAAGAAGTATTTCAAGAAGTGCTGGCAAATAATGAATGAAATAAGGTAACACATCGCCAAACCCAGCCACTTCATGGACACAACACTCTAGTCCATGGCTAAAATCAAGGAAAGTACAGTACAGTACTTCTATGTGTAATAGGGTCTTACCTCATTGGAAAATAAAGTGAGGACTTTCTGTCAAAAATGACAAGCCACTGTTGTGCAGCCACCCAGCAGCTGCGTACATTCTTTCAACAAAACACACCATTTGGTGGCCAGAGATATATTCCTGCTTCAAGTACAAGAAAAGGGAATAAATAGGTTTATGTATCTGGCCGTTAAGCTGGAGGCTGGGCATTCAGCACCCACTGCGTCTCCCTGACAAGGTCTGGACTCGATGATCCATAGGGTCTCTTCAGCTGTGACCAAAAAAATAGTGTCTTCCAACACAGCCTATTTTTAATGGGTACCAGACATGCGGAATGGCAGACAAATCTCTTTTTGGAGAAAGCAAAAAGCTGGGGGCTAAGGAGGCACAGCTGAACGGCAACACCACTGGTCCTCCCAGTATCTCCTGTTACTTGTGCCAATTGTTCCAGTCTACTTTCTAATGCAGTCAGTCCCGAAAGTTGTCATTTCTGCACAGTGGGGAAGCAAACATTACTGTTCACTTCTGAAGTTTACAAAACATCTAATGGATTGTCTACACACATAATGTTAAGAACAGGCTGGAGTGGGCTAAACAGGGTCACTGGGCAGTCTGGCATGTCATTCGAAGCAATCCTCTCATCCAAATGGCATACAGACCTCAAGTGACCCTTTCTGATCTGCAGCAGCCTGCTGTCAATCTCCCAGTATCATGAAGTGGCTTGAAGAGAACCACTTCACAATAGAGACAAACTAATCACTTCCTTGGCTCCGTGAATGGGCCTTATTTCATTCATTAATTTTTTAAAAACAAAACAAAACTACAGTATGTACAAAGCCAGTGAATATGTATGACATCACTTTAAAGATCTAAAAGATTGATGGAAAGTAAATGAGTATTAGGAAAGCTAAGGTGTATTAGGGCAGTGCAGGGCAGGGCAGTCTGCTGCGAGAAGAATGTTTGCTTTTGGTCCATTTCCAGTGATTCAGACACACTGGAAATGGACCAAACCAGAGCAATCCTATCTACACCAAAAAAACAGAAGCCCCTGACAGGGTTCAGAAAAGTCCAAATAGGAGTGTTCCGGGGAAAAACTGGTTAATCCAGAGATTATGGTGTTTGGAAAAAGGAGTGAATGAACCCACCCCATAGTGGTCCAAACTGCAGGCTAAATGCCTGCCTGATGCACCCTAAATTAACTTAAAATGTGATGAAATGAGAGAGAGCGAAAGGAAAGAAAGACACCCTCAACATCTAGTATTTTATTTCCAATCAATGACCTCATCATGAAAGTTCTTTGGAATTCTTTCCCCTCTCCTAAAAAGTCAAGAAAAATCCTTACCTTTCACGGGGGCAAATGGTCTTGGTATGTATGTTTGTGTGTGTATGTGTGTTTGTGCATGCGAGCATGCAATTTTTACCTTAATATTAGTAGTTTCCTGTTTTGCTCTGAAAAAGATGGTGGTTGAAGAATAATATTTATCAAACAATTTAACAGGTGTACATACATGGAACTGGCAGCTGAACAAGACTATATTTGCCACCTACCTTCCTGCTTGCAGAACGCCTGATATGCTGAAGAGGCCAAAGTCAGTGATCACGACTTTCCCATTGTCATAGAAAACATTTTTAGATTTCAGATCTTTGTGGAGAATCCCCTTTGCATGAAGATAGCCCATCCCCTGAAAGAGGGGAGAGAAGAGGAACTGAGAGACTGGCTTGTGTTTCTCTAAAAAAATGGTGCACACACACATCCATCTGCACTCACTGAGACACTTTGCTGTGGCCCACACAGAAACGATTTAATGAAGAAAAAGGTAGTTTTTAAACCCTCAGGCTGGAATTCTACTGGCATTTGTGTAAGGTCTGCATAAATTACTGCACCTAATGGTAGATGACTGGGTATCTGGGTGCACCTCAGGAGCACAGTTGGGTGCATTAGCTGATGCATGATCCAGATGCACTCTGGCATCTCATCAATTAGTTGCAATTAGGTGTGGCAAGTTAAAGAAATCTTACCCAAACACCAACAGAATTCTTGCCAGTGTCTTAAAACCATAGGTTTCAAAAATACTTCAGACACCAACCAATTCAGCTCCTAGAGAGGACCAGCTCAAGACATGTTGAGAAGAGAAAAGTCATGATGGCATGTTCCTGCCTCTCCCCTCTTCCAGTTTCTAAGCTCTTTCCTTTAACATTGGGTCCCCTTGAGGAGAAAGATGGGGTATAAATATTTTAAATAATCAATCAATTTGATCTCTCTTTTTAAATACAGTATATAGATTCTCAATCTTCATAGATGAGGAGAATGCTGTGTGTATAATAAATCTTGCCCTCAGCACACCTTTTGGCAAGACCCTTCAAGACATTCTAGTAGCCATTCTTTATGCAAATGCATTTCAATTATTTTGATTTATTGTTTATTTGCCTTTTATTATTTTTATTTTCTAATCTGTTCAATTGAATTTAATCATATTCTTGCTGTGCTTGTTTTAAACCTCCCAGAGTGGTTCCAGGCCAGATGGGTGGAATAACACTGAAATGAAATGAAATGAATGAATGAATGAAAGAAACAAAGAAAGAATAAATGCCCAAGCTAGTGAAATGTATATTAATTATTACTGATGATTCATTAGTATTAGATAGATTAGTAGCAGGTTTACAGTTCATACCCAAATAGAGCTCACTGTCAGTTCTTTGGTATCCTAAAAAGCAACAAGTAAAGTGTCCAAAAGTTCATCAAAAAAGCAGATGAAGATACAAAACTGGAAGTTTCGACAATGTCCTCTGAGTTGTGATTTCTGGCTGTTGGTTTGGATCCTACCCTCTGAGCAGTGGTTCCTAGCTTCGGATAACCCGTGTTCTTGGATTGTAATTCTCAGAAACCAGCTGTGCTGACTGGGGTTTCTGGGCATTGCAGTCAAATAACACCTAGGTTACCCAAGGTTGGTCAACAAAGAACAAGCTAACCATCATCTGCTTGGCCATGCTTCATATGTAAGGAGACAACTAAACTGATGCCTTTTCATGGTCTCTATAACAGGTTAAACTGTTCATACATTTTATTTTTTTGGGAATACAATCTAGTCGCTTAAGAGCAGCAATTATGGTATGGTGTTTGCATGGGTCTGAACTCTGCAATGCAGTTTTTTAATGAAATATGGAGACAAAGTATGTACAGAAGTGTATATGTTGGGGAAAGCAAGCAAAAATGCATGCATTAATAAAGGTAATGTGCACAACATGTTATATTCAGGAAAAATTTGTATGAATATGCATCTACTAGGGAAATGGTCACAAAGTGTGTATGTAAATGAAAATGCATGATATTTAAAAAAAACCTCTTGCAAAAATGCTACATGCAAAGCTGCATTTCAGAAGTAACATAATGATAAGGAACAGTGGAGTGTTTTTGTGTCTATCTAGTGCACTGGTTCTTAACCTTTGTTACTCCAATATTTTTGGACTGCAACTCCTAGAAGCCTTCACCATCAGCTCTGCTGGCTGGGGTTTCTGGGAGTTGCAGTTCAAAAAAACCTGAGTAACAAAGGTTAAGAACCACTGGTAATCATCAGTAATTTTGATTAATTTTTTTTGCTTATTTTTAAAGGGCATATTTAAAGGCACCCTGAGAAGTTTTTTTTCAAGATTCTATCAATCCAAAGAGCTCCTGCCCCAATGACAAGGGTCCTACGTGGGCCACAAGATAGTTTAAAGTAGTACCAAGAATGATACATAAGCAACAGAAAGTCATTCCTGCTGTGATAATATTTACTAGGAATGTAAAATAAATCTGCATTAATCTTTCTTTCTTTCTTTCTTTCCTTCACAATTTTTTCCAATGTGCAATCTGCAACATTAAGAGCAAAGCAGCTGCTTTGGTTTCTCATTATTCAGAAGAACTGTCAGCATCAGAAGCTCATTTTATTTTTCCTTCTTTTCCAGATCATATACAAATAAACGCATACAACTAAAATTGCGTATCTTCAAAAAATATATATAATGAAAAACATGCTGTTTTTCCCATTTTTCTGCAGGATGGAATAAAAAAATCTCAAAATCTGATACAAAACATGAAGAAAGTGCAAGTATGTATTCAGAGAAAGGCAACAGATTTGAAATGGAGAGTTTGTCATATCCCTCTCTATTATTACAAAATGATGTTATGAATAGAGCAATAGGATAGGTAGTTTCGTGCAGCCACAAAGAAGGCTCCGTGCTCTCTATTCCTTTAAAACAGTGGTTCCCAACCTATGGCATTCCAGTTGTTCTTGGACTGCAACTCCCAGAAACCTCAGCCAGTACAGCTGGTGGTGAAGGCTTCTGGGAATTTCAGTTCAGAAACACCTGGGTTACCCTAGGTTGGGAAACACTACAGTACTCAGGTGGGTTAGAGGGTTGATTTAAAGGGATGGGCAATGATACCTAGGAGGACACGGCTCTAAAGCTATTTTTGGCATCAAATTTAATAGCCAGCATCTTGAACTGAACAAAGCCTTGAAAAGTTACTTTTGTGCAACTACAGTACATCCCCCAGAACTCACCAGTTACTATGGTAACTGGTGATGCTAGTTAGGGAATTCTCTATACTTGAGGTCATGTAAGGAAACCTGAAAATATCCCAAGCTTAATTTAATTCTTGCTCCTCTCCTGATCCCAGTTGCATTTTCCTCTCATTGTAGTGTGCTATTTTTCATTTTTTCCCCTACCTACACTGAAATGTATATCTACATCTACATCCAGATCTATATCTTGAGCATTTTTCCCCCAACATGCACGTTCATTTAAACAATTTATTGAATTTTCACATTTATTTATACATTTAATGTTCTTTATGCATTGGCTCCTGAGCCAAAGGGTGTTTGCGCATATATTTTTTCAACTCTTTCTATTCTGGTACATAATTGTTCAGTAATTTTATTTCTCAAGGACACCAAGTATGCCTCACAAACATGTGACGATTTCTCACACAAAGTCCCAGAAAATGTGAAACTCTAACATTGTATTGAGATTGTCATCAATAACAGAATTCTTCCTCATCCTTAGAGCCATGATTGGATGATTAAGAGGGTAAGAGTGGCTCAACTGGCTGGATAAAACTATCCCTTTGGATCTTTGTATTTCAATTGTACCTCAGCAATCTGAACTAGGTACTTAAAAACAACAACAACAAATGTATCCTGAAGCTGGCAGATTGGACTTGCCTCTGGATTTCTTTGGCCTATAGATGGCCAGCTAGCACCCCCTGCTGACTCGTAGATTTTTCAAAAATAACCTCTTCTTACTTTAGTGGAGAAGTCTGAATATTTGCACTAATCCCAGGGAAAAAAAAGGCTCTCAAAACTGAGACAAATGACTCAAGGAGAATTGCTAAGCTGTTTTGAGGGTTAGCTGCCATAGAACTCCAAATATTGTCCACTCCTTTCTTTCTTAGCGATGCCACCAGGGGTGGATGATCATGGTCCCCCATTCAACAGAAGCAGATCATTCATGGTCTATTGGGAGGAAGTATGTGACATTAACATCTAAGAAACAAGGGCCTTGTAGAACCACTGAATCTTACACATCTAAGTCTAGAATCGAAAAATAGGCAACTACACCACTGATCTGTCTGTTGATGTGAAAGACCAGAACCAGCTATTAGAAAGTGAACATAAACTGGTCTGGTAAGGCTTACAGAATGGATTTGTAGCTAAAGGGCAGCAAGGGCTAATATTTTTATTCCTGCCAACATTCTCCTACATCCTTGGTCTCCCCCTCACTTACCCTCTGAGGCTCAGGGAAAAACTCAAGACTAAAGGGGATGTTCAGAAACATAGCAAGGACTTGAAGGAAGGCTAAGCATTTCACGCTGTTGCCTGATGATTCTGTCTTGCAGATATTGCTTGTGCTTTCCCACATTAGTAGTACACAACCTTTTTAATGTGTTTGTGAAGTCTGGAAAAGAATAAAAACCAAAGTTTGGGGCTTTGGGTGGGCTGGGAAAATTATAGAATAATTGTATTGGAAAAGGTCTAATAACAGATGGGGGGGTGTATGGATGGACTGGAGGTTTACTTTAAACCCTGGGAAGAGTGAGTGTTTAGCAAAATCCAGTATGGCGCCAAGGTTAGTGTTTTAAATGAGAATTTGGGGGATTCAGATTCAACTCCCCAATGGGCCGCAAAACTCAGCTGTGAGCCCTACTCTGTCAATCTGACCTACCTCCAGTGTTGTTGGAAAGAACTATGTTTGCTACCTTGTGGAGACAAGGTGGGACATAAATTATTTAGTATTAACAACCATTTACTACACAACTTTCAGACTAAATGAAAGTTATATACCTATTTAGTTAAAGCTTTTGGAAAACTCCTGGGGTATGATACATGGCTTGCTTCAGAACATTTATGAAATGAGAAAGCTTTTTGTTTTTGTTTCCTCACAGAAGCACTATTAAGAATTACGGTGAGTGCTAGTGTAGATGGAAACTCGTATCTGGTCATTAGCCAGAGAATGGGGAGAAAAAAAAATAAAGTAATGAAATCCAATGAAACAAAAAATGGGTTTGGCATAGTGTTTAATAGGATAGAAAAAGGTCCTGATGAGACAGCCCATCTGTCAAAATGACATGAATGAATTAGAAGGAGAAGATGTGTCATATTCTCAACTAAATATGTAGGGGAAGACAGCAAGACATTGTGAGCATTCTGAAACTCTTCTAGGAATCCAAATCTGCTCCCCCTTTGCAAGCCTGTGGATTAGAAAATTCCATGACCCCTCCAGAGGCAAAGCTTAGGGACTTTTTTTTAAAAAAAAGTAATGAGTTACATTTGCAGCTGGCATGAACCTTGGAATCTTGCAGCAATACTGTTTTGGGAAGTTGGTACATGTTATCCCGCACCAAGTTACAGTGGTGCCTCGCTTAGTGATTGCTTCGTTTAACGATGTATTCGCTTTGCGATGGGTTTCTTTGAGGAATTTTCCGCATCGTTTAACGATGTTCTCTATGGGGGATTTTCACTTAACCATGTCCGTTTTTGCTCATTTAAAAGTGTCTTAAAATGTTTGAAACCTGTTTTAAATGCTTGGAATAGTTAGTCCACATTGTGAAACCTTTGCAAACTTAATTTGGCTTTGTTCTGAGTCTTCGTTAATTTTTGGTGAATTTTTCCCCCCATTGAAAAGCATTGAACGGACAGTTCAATACTTTTCAATGAGGGGAAAAAAATTCACCAAAAATTAACGAAGACTCAGAACGAAGCCAAATTAAGTTTGCATAGGTTT